GATGGATGGATGGTTCTGTGGTGTTTGCTTTGCAGTTAAATCAATGATGTTAATGTCAACAGATGCTCATCAAAACGCAGCTGGAAGAATATTAGACTCTAAGTGCCTCAAGACAAACAATTGGTGCCATTAAATCATATAGCAGCAGGAGGTGCAACAACACAGAAATAGTGATGAAAATATGACATTTCTTGTTAGCTTTTTTTTTTTTTTTTTAAATAAAGCTGAATATAAGTATTTTTAATTATTATGCAAAATAATCACGGTCAGCAAAAATAATTGCGGTCAAACAATTCTGTAAATAACAGTGACAGATGTACTCAGTGGTGCTCTTTAGCCATTTACTGGCAACGGAACAGCCATTGTTAATGTTATTAGTAACAGTAGTATTGACTCTGATATGTTGTTTTGTTAAAGGCATAGTGGGTTATTTAAGTACAAGTGCTTAAGATTAAGATCCCAGGATCTACTGTTATCGTCTGCTCCCAAAGTTAGAACAGAACGGGGAAAGAAAGCTTTCAAATTCGCTGCTCGCTCTACCTGGAACATTTTGCACAAAGACCTGAAACTTCAAGAGCTGGTTTCTTTAAACACTTTTACAGTGTTCTCAAATGACTTGGAGGCAGAAACGTCAGTCTGCAGATGTTTGACAGATGATTATCTTGCTAGTTACGTTTCTGATCTCTGCTGATTTCTATTATTTCTATTATGAGTGTGATGTTTGTGTGGATGTTGTTGTGACCTCGTCAATTGTGCTGCTGCCCGTCTTGGCCAGGACACTCTTGATAAAGAGATTTTTAATCTCAATGAGGTTGGTTAAATATAAAGGTTTAAAAAAGAAAAAGAGTTGTGCTTTTGAATTGATGAGATGTAACACAGCATTAATACTGCAGACAAAGTGTACAGCAACGGTAATCCTGTAAAACTATACAGTCTGACTTCATGACACTGGTGTGACATTCCTCACTCTTTCAACCAAATATCTTCACCTCTAACTCTCCTGCTTGTGGACACACTCTGAAATGAAAGACTCAACTCACGCAGTAAATGTGTAAAATAAAATATTTTCTATTCCAATCATTCATGGATACATTTGAAGAGATACAAGTAACAGTACATCAAACAAAGTCAAGCCAACTCCTCTAAAGGGCTCTACGTTTCCCCCTTTAGCAGCTAAATTTGAAAAAAAAAGAAAAAAAAGAAAAGAAAACGCCACCTTTAACAGTGGGAAAATCCAAGTGCATGCTGGCAAAACTTGTAATCGTGACTGTCTGAAATCCAGATATTCAAAAGTACTCATGGTGATAATACAGTAGCAAAATATTACATATCAAGAAAGAAAGGCTAACATGAAAAGAGTATTCTTAAGACATGATTACAGAAACAAGGTAATCAAACTGCACAACTTCATAGAGACTAGTAACAAACAGACCCCTCTTAAAAGTGAGTCCTTCAGAAGCTAAGGAAGGGGAAGAATGTTTTCGACTTTCAGCAAGTGTGGGTCAGGTAATCGGTGGGGATATGGGCAGTGAGTGACAATCAGAACATCAGTCCGTCCGCTCGTATTTGGCGGCACTAACAACGTGGGTTTGAAATTGAGCCCGTAAGTGAATCTTGGGAAGGATTAGCCATGGCTTTTCATGATGCTGCAGCAGTCCTGTGCTCTGCAGAGGACCACCAGTCTGTGAAAAAGGCTCATCCGGTTCGTTCAAGAACATGAAGAAGACATCTGGTGCACACTGGGACGTCATGTCCATTGACTGGAAGAAACCGCGTGAACGACTCGTGGGAGCTTGTAGACCACGACTGTGTGAGTAGGCGAAGATTTAGTATAAAAAAATATGTCTCCCACATCTTTGAGTTCTTCTGTTCTTCTCCCCACGTCATACCTACTGGTCCGAACCTGTCAGAGCGAAAACAAACACATCTATTGCAGTCGGTGCTTTAATAGTTTTAACAACAGTTTCTGTGTGCAGCAGCGTTAATAACACACCTAGTTGCCATTCACTTGTGTTCGTCCGTGGTCGATGGCTGCTCGCTCTCTACTGCGGTTCTCTCGTTCCTCGTCCTCCTCATCCCTCTCCTCGTTGCCGCTGTGGTTCTTACAGTATAGTCTAAAATATCAGATACACAGACAGTAGAATTTGTAAGCATTAAATACTGAATATTAGCCATTATTAGTTCTTCTGTACAGCTCCAAAGCAAACCATCTATCGCTTTAAAAGTCTGGAGATGACGGCACAAAACACCTTCAGATTTTCCTGGAAGTCTGAATTAGGAAGTTAAAATAAAAGTAGTCTTACCAATGCGCTGTTCTCCTTAAAGTTTCCTTAAATGTTCAATTAGTATTTAAGGTTTTCTCTTATCTTGGTCCTACACTTAAGCAATCCCTTAAAGTTAGTTAAACTACGGCACAAAAATGCGAGTATTCCAAGTAAGTAAAAAAAAAAAAGAAATTAAAAAATACCTTTAATAGTTTTATCTCTAATCTCACTACAATCTGTTTGAGTTTATGCTGATAAATCAGGAAAATGTACAGCTTCACACTTCTTGAATTAAATTTCCTCATGCTTTCATTGTTTTTTGTCATCAACAGATTAAATGTACTTTTCAATAAGTTTTCTTCTTTTATTGATTCTCTTATTTTTTATTCCTCTTTTGGTTTTCTTGTCACCTTTCCTCTGCCTTTTTTTTTGCTCTGTATATGCCAACTCTGAAGGGTAATAACAGGCATCACGAGGACAAGTACAAGCAAACAAATGATCTCAATGGAAACTGTTGTATTTTGCTGCTGGAAAATCTCTTTCAATGCACTAAAATGCCTCATCGTATGTAGATTTTCCACTCACTTGGGTCATGGTAATCCTAGGAGCTTCAGTAAAAAGCAACTGCACTTCCCTTTTAGGTTAAAAGAGAACATTAAAAAAGAAGCTTTTTACTGAAGCTCCTAAGATTAAATGTCAAAAAGTTTTTCCACAACTGTAAAAGGTATTTTGTGCCTCAAGTCAGTCCCTTCAGCTGAGGACAACGTCCACCTTATGTGACGCTTGAACAACAAAGCTCGAGATGTGCTGCGGAACCAACTCCTGATGTGGTTCAGTTAAGGTGGCGAGTGTTAGAATTTAAGGTGGCCTAAGGAGAATTCACACAGTGCTTTGATTAATGGGTTCCTGTTTTGTTTGTATCATGCAGCACTACACATCCCTTCCACTGGCTTCACACCATTTCACTGATAAACAACTGATGTCAGGAAGATGTGAGACGGCGGCTCTCGTGTTTGTAAGGAACTCACACACAAATTTATGTTTTATAAGGAAGAAAATGCATCAGAATGTTTGTCGGATCTCGAGGATACACTCAGTGCATCTTGTCCAGCAACGCTATAAAGAGTTAATGAGAAAACTCCTTCATCTGATTCTCATGTTTAGTTGTGATGACAGAATATAAAGACGAGAGGAAGGAGGTTAAGTTTTATCATTCACACATACCAGAGGAAGCTGTAACGCACTATAGTCGATTAAATATAAACTACATATCACTCTAACAAAAGTATTTAAGAGCTTTGTTCAGTTTTTTTTTTGAGGTTCACACGTAAAACTTAACACCAAGTGACTGTGTGGTGACGATTCCTGTAAATATGAAGTCAAAGTCTCCATGTAATAAATGCATAATAACAATAGCGTGAAAGGATTTTTGCATAAATCTGCTTTTTGAGCTTACTTGTAGATGCCGCGCGCCATGTTTTCGATATACTTGGCTTTGTCCTGCAGGCCGCAGTGGTAGTGGTAGGTCTTCACACACGCCTTGATTTCACACCCGATGGTCGCGCCCAACTGAGTGCAGAGCGTGCATTTCTGGAGAAACAATAAGAGAGCCGAGACTCAGTCGAAGGGCGGACTTTAACCTTAAAAACAGCTTTTAGTACTTCTGTCGCATCAATCCTCCCACCATTCTTTTGCCCCTCTTGATTTCCTGGATGACTGTTTTCACGTCAAAGTTTCCAAATTCAGCCCGCGACGTGGTGGTCAGCTGTACTGTGCCCGATGAGAAAAGCTGGAAGGGATTGGAAAGTTCAGAGAAATGACAGCTGATGGTACTTTGAATGCATGTTTGCAGAGTAAAATGCGAACACACTACAGTCCTACCATGCACTTGTAGTGAGCAGCCACTTTTTTGGAGTTATCTGTGTGAAGCATCCCTCTTGTTTCGTTCTCTTCCTCACCAGCATGGCAGAAGCCACAGCGCTGGCCGCCGTCTCCTGGGCTGGTACGAAGAGGTGATCTGTCCCGCTACAACACATTTAAATGTTTTTTTTTTTAGCAAAGTCCACAACAGCATTAGACCATTCAGGTGATGTTCACAGACTGCAGATGTGAACCGAACGCTGCCTTACGTGGGAGGAGCTCTCCTCGTCTGCAGCCTGTGAGGAGGTGGAGCGTGTTTCTTCCGACTGGCCGCGAGATCCCACCTTGGCCCGGCTCTTGTCAAACCTTCCCCTGCCTCTACTCTGAGGAGGCGACGAGTCTGAATCATTTGCCACGCCTCCCTCTTCATCTGATGACAAACCAACAGTTCATCAAAACAGAGGACATGCAAGTGGAAACAGTTTTTTATTGGGGATGGATCGATTATCGAGCTAATTGTCAGGGCAGAAATGTGGCATGTTTCAGAATATTTGTATTGTTGTTTTTATTAACCTATAAAATAAACTAAATGCACTGCTTTGGGTCTGATGCAGCTTCCTCTTCCTGTCTGTAATCCCTCTGTGGTCTTTACAATGTCTCTCTAGCAGGGACACAACCCGCAAAAACTGAACAAGAAGCACAAGCCGTCGCCACAAACCAGGAAATTTGCTACTTTCACAGTGGCTAAAGCTATGCTAACGGCTAGCGGCTAAGTGGGGTGCAGCCACAGATTATTCTGAAACAGAGTCTGGAAAACTAAAACAAATAATGCTGTAAGATGTGGACCTCAGTGGGCGACAAATGTAATTAAACAGAACTATCATTTGTTAAACATTAACAAAACAATGCTCCGATGTCATCACATGGTGCAAGCGTTCATATTCAGTTAGAATAATCCTCTTTAATGAAGAATCCCAGTTACGAATGACAGCTTCTCTGCTACCTGTTGTTAAAATAATACATGTAATGAAAAATCCATATCGATCGATCTCTATTTGTAATATCAAAAACAGAGAAACAACTTAAATAAGAATAAATTCAGTGTAGATTCAGTATCTTATTTTAAATCACTTCTTAAAACCCACTTCTATAGACTTGCTTTTGAGTGATGTTCTCTTTTAGATTTTCTTCCGTTTCTTTTCCCTTTTCATATTGATACCGCCTGCTGTCCTGCTCTCTTTTCTCTTTCTTAATCTACTTTTATCTTCAGCTTTCATCTTAATTCCCCTCTGTGAAGTCGTCTTTTTAATCAGCTTCACTAGTAAACCGTCCAATAGTGACCCAGCCTGTTCTTTCCCATTTTTATTGTGTGTATTTATATATTTTGAGTGTTTGCCTGCACTTTTTTTTAGACGTGTTGTTGTCCTGTGTTACCTTGTCTGTCTGTGTTGTGAAAGCATTTTGTGAGTTCTGTTCTTAAAAGGTGCTATACAGATAAAATTTATATATGTATATATGTCAAATACGAACTTGATAATTTAGCCTTTGTGTTGCGATTATGTATTTTTTTTGTTACAACACAGTTCAATGCTAAACATAATTTCAGGTGACCTTGTGGTTAAGCACATTACTGAACTATTCAAATGATTTCCATGTAAGTGTCATTTGAATTTGTGTCGTGAAAGGGAAAACAGGTGCGAATCCAACCATCCATGCAGCCTGGTGGTGTAACAGATGTAGATCACACTTTACCTCGAATGCCATCTTGAGAAGCATCCCGGTGTTTGCGACAGTAAACGCTACGATCGGGCACAAAAGAAACAGAGTTTAGTTTATATGACGCTGCTGGTTTCCTTCCACAGTCCAAAAAATACGCAAATTAGCTGAACTGATAACTCTAAGTTGCCTGTGACATGACTGACGTGTGTGTCAGTAATGTCAGGTGCAGCTGATAGGTGGATGGATGGATGACAAGAGACTTACAGGTAAATCCCTTGTGAGGGATTCTCTTTGATCTGTGCCTTGTCCTTCACAGCACAATAATAGTGATACGTCCTCCGACACGTCTTGACGTCACAGCCGATGGTGGCGCCCGGTCGGTGACATGAAGAACACATCTGGAAAAAAATGAAAAAGACAAGAGCTGCAACTTTCAGAATGAACAAACACATGCAGCTAAAGCGCCTTTCATGTTCGTTCAAAATATCTGGAAACTTCTAATGTGGTTTCTCAGTCGGTAATGTGATTTTTTCCAGTGTGGATCTGAATAAGAATTTCTCTCCAGAGATCGTGGGTCTGACAGGCCATATGCAAATATCTTGACACAATATCTCTCTCAGGAGAATTTGATGTGTTGCAGGAGAAAAGCAAATTCAATTTAGCAGAGAAGCACGATAAATACAGGAAGATAAAACAGAGAAGCAGCACAGAACGGTTCAAACTAAAGGTTTACAGCTGCTACGAACTGTTTATTAGTGGACTGACTGTAAATTAATCTGCAAACGTTTGGATAATCAAACGTTTTAGTTATTTCTATAGATTTGATGCTTTTCTTTGTCATGTACAATCAGAAACTTTTCTTTGACTTTGGTAAAGCAAAACATGCAATCTGAGCTGATTACCTTAAACTGTAGGAAACGTTAACAGACATGTTTAGGGTTAAGATTGACTGATTCATCTACAAAATCAATGAAATTTCTCTTTAATGTATAGAAATAACCTCCATCTTCTATTAGCACATCTTGTTGTTGCTAATTTTTCTCTCTCTTCTCTGTATTTATATAATTTAACTCAAAGCTGGTGAAAAAGAGGTTCACTCCTCGGTGATCTCAGGTATGAATAAAGGTTAAATAAATGAATTATTACACTACTAACATGTAGATTCTTCAATTGCTAGAATCCAAAAAGTACTCTTAATTCAAACGTGTTGTGTTGCTGTAAGCAGATCAAAGTGAAGAAAAAACACAACTAGATCAGTATATGAAATAATTCTACATAAACAAAGTCATTACCAAATATTCTATGTGTATGAATAACTTATTAATACATTATTTCATACAGTAGTGGGAACTTTTCACATAAAAACACTCATATTTGCCGGAGAAATTATAGTGAAACAACTGCGAATAGGTAGGAAAAAAGTATGAAACTAATATTAAATCACTGCTATGTACTAATGAAAAGGGTTTTCCCGCAGAAAAGAAATTTGGGCACCCCTAAAAAAAAGCTTTTGGGTGCCCCTACGGAGATTCTGTGGGAAATAAACAGCAGCACAATTGAGGATTTAAGAAATTCATGTACATTATAATGACCTCTCTTAACCGGTGGTTTCATTTACTCCAGCATATAAGACATTTGTTTGTTAAACAGTCAGAAGTGACAAGAAAACGAACAGATTTCCGCTAAATAATGGTGCTTACTGTTGTGCACAGTCACCCCCCAAAGGATCAATCTGAGCCAAGAAAAAGCCTGATTGTGCAAATTAAATTCAAAATGCTGTCAGTTAAATGAAACTGTATTTCAGTTTCAGAGCTCTGACATTCATCTGCATCAAAACAAAATACATTCCAGTGCGTACGAGCGGCTGCAGAGCTTCACAATAACACTCAGTGACTCAAGGATTGCCAGAGTTAGAAAACTTTGAGGGTCTCGCGGTGAAAACCTTTTTCTTATTTGACTGAGGAATTAACCTGAACGTAGCCTTTCCTTCACTGGTCGAGGACGGTGATGTTTTCCACTTGAACGTGAGATAAAACAGGAGACGGATCTGATCTTAAATATTGGATATATATAAAACAGATCTTAAATATCTGAAGTCTAAATAATAATCCACTACCACTCTTATTTCTTATGGCTGGTAATTAGAATGAACTAATTGCAATTAAACATGTCCCACTACTTCAGAAGGTGGTGCACTATTTTGAAGACGCAGATTGATAAACTTCTTCTTCTTTTTCTTTTAGATCTGATATAATGCTGTTAGGCTTCCATCAATAAGTCCTCAATACATGAATGACGTGCAAAAACAAGGACAGTGATGTTTGCATGTCTCTTCCACTGAAACAAATGATGTGACATTTGCTGCTTTCTGTACCAAACAAGCATGCTTCCTTACATCTGGAGAATATGATGCATGGGCCGGTGCATCTTTGTAGAATGTAAAGGAGCCTCCACCAAGTATTAAATATAGAAATGAACAGGGCGCCCAGATAGCTCGGCAGGTAGGGCGGGCGACCCACGTACAGGGGCAATAATCCCCGACGCAGTGGCTGAGGTTCGATTCCAGCCAGCGGCTCATTTGCTGCATGTCATTCCCCCACTCTCCTCCCCACGTTTCTCTGTCTATCTTCACTGTCAACTATCATTAAAGGTTGAAAAGCCCAAAAAATATCTTTAAAAAAAAAAAGAGAAATGAACAGAACATATCAGTTTTGTAAATCCATTGATGATTGATCTTAGAAATTATTCTAATGACTTGAGCTCCTGGATTTCTGATTTTCATGAGCTAAAAGCCATAATCATCAAAATAAAAATAAAAGAAGGCTTCAAGTATTTCACTTTATGTGTAGTAAATATAGAATATATGGGTGTTCACCTTTTGGAATTAAATTACCAAAACAAAGAACATTTTTTTTGTATAATACTCTGAGCTATACCTATAAACTTTCACATCGTGTCACAAAAGACACCACGATGCTAAAAAAACAGCCGTGTGTGCAAACATGTGCACCTCCTTCATTAGTAACTAGAATTTAAAAGCTGCTAACGCATATCCTCAGAGACAGCGTTTAATCAACAAGAAATATATATTTAAATACGCTCATTATCATCCGAATGTTTCACTTATAATTACAAGTTTTCAGGAGTTTTAACACGACAACATTTTTGAAAGAACTCAGTCCCTGAGCTCAACCTTGTGTCCATAAAACCCACATCAACGCTCAAACGAGAAGGACAGACGGCACTCACCAATTTATTTCCCCTCTTGATCTCCTTCTTCACGTCCTCGATGGAAAACCCTCCGATGTTTTCATTGTCTGAGTGTGATGTGACCAGGGCTGACGAAAAAAGCTGTAGGCGACATTAAAAAAATAAATAAATCAGGGGTTAGTTTGTGCACATTTTATATGAAGATTTCTGCAGTTTTCTTTACCCTAATTACAGCGAATGCATCATTTGGTGCTTTAGATAATTGCAGGTGATGTGTTGTTTATTGTGGATATATATGGATGCACAGTTTCAGTTTATTGAATTTTCTCTTTATGAAATGCAGAATTTCTGTTGAAAACATTGTCCATTTTCTGCAATTCACTATTCAGCAAATATGACAGGGGTTCCCAGTAGGAAACGTGCATGAAGGATCTCAGGCTGGAGAACAACGTGCTCCCCTCACCATGCACTTATGGTGGGCTGCCACCTTCTGGCTGTCAGACATCAGCAGCTGCCCACACTCCTTGTCCCGGTTGGTTCTGCAGAAGGCACATTTCGGCAGGCGGGCTGCAGCTCCTTTCCTCTGTCCTGACATGTCTGAAGGCTTATTTCGTGTGCTCAAGACTCTAATTTAAAATAAAAAAAAAAAAAGACCACAGACATAAGAGACAAAAGATATGATCAAAGCACTTCTAGAAACAATTGCCCACTTTGCTATAGGATCAAAACCGCTTTAACGAACGCTGATGCTCGTATCTGATTCAAACGAGATGGAATCAGACTTTCTAAGGTGCTCATTATGTTGCTGATACTCCTTGATATTGTAGATAAAAACATTAGCAATGACGTGTTAATAACGCATGTAAATCTACATAAATATCCAAAATCAGAGTTTCCAAACATCCCTCTTACACATTCAGTCATTTAAGTGTAACCTATGTTCTGGAAATTTTTTTTTTTTTCCCCCCCTCACAGAAGTGAAAAAAGCAAGTGTTGTGAAATAATGAATAAAACCATTTGGAAGGAAGCCACTAGAAACCCTTTCCCAGAAACAGCTGGAAACAAAACTTTGACTCAACTACTACTTGGAGTAACTTCGAAATAGAGCACGGAAAGTCACAAAAGAGCAGCACTGTGTCCTAAAAACACTCTTTATGTGTTGCTCAGCAAAGCCTCCGGTGGATCCACGCATTTGTAGCAGGACTTTTTTTAAAACTTCTGATCTCTCTCATTATTTCAGCTCATTTAGTTGTATTATAGATTTTATTGGGCTGCTGTATGAATCATGCAACAAATGTACACACGTGCATATTGAGAGTATTTCTATATAAATCCACAAACATGCATCATAAGTCCATTCAAACGAGTTTCTCCAATTGCTGATCGATGAAAGAATTGTGAGAGAAGCACAAAAACGTTGGCAAAAATTGGAATAATGCACACGATTAACAAGCTTCGCTGGTCATCTCAGGACTAAATCAGATTAAACAGGAAGGGAAATCTACAGAAGCAGGACTCTGAATCTGGTGGTTACTTTTAATTATTGCGTTCTCCACCACAGACAAATCCCCTCATGAGTAGTTTTTCTTTTTTTTTCCTTCTCTCTCTCTCTCCTTCTCTGCAAATGATGCAACATGTTTCCTATTCTGCATATACAGTCTGCACCAGTGTTCTTCCACATCTCATCTGCTGCACTTAAACACTTCTTTCAACAACAAACAAATATGTCATTTAATGGAAAATGTGCAATTTTACACAGCTGTGGCAAGCAGTGGAAGCATGACCCGGAGTTGGGATGAATGAATACTTTCACTTGTATTTCATTTTATATTTATATCCTCTTAATTTATCATTAACATCTTCTTGAAATGCATATAAAATCGTTTGCAAAAGCCTATCAGTGTATTTCCCCCCCTCCAGATCAGATGAGTAAAGCAAACCTCCAAATGTGTGTTGTCATTTGCAGGGATACTCTCGCTTTGTGGTGCCCATAATGCTGCAGGCGCCGCAGATGCATTAAATATAAGGAATAATAATAATAATAAAAATGATCTCAATCCTAGTCTAGAAAGTGGGTGTTTAAGGAAAAGAGGAAAAAAAAAATCACAATAGCGGTGAGCTGCGACGCCTTGATAGAGCCATTACAGCCATGATAGCAGGGCCAGGCTTCCACTGCGGCGCCCACAGCAGCGGAGCCCAGCGTGCAAACACAATAACACCGAGGAAATATCAGCGAAAAGCCCTCGTTTCAGCCTCCTGCTCGCACAAGAAACGCTCCAACATCGCAGTGTCCCGCCACACATCCGCGTTGAGACGGATTTGCCGCAAAAAAACAAGTCAAAACCGTTTTAAAAAAGTGGCTCGAATTTCTCCTGCAAAGTTTTTTGAATTAAAGGGGGTGTGTGTCTGCTTCTCCAGCAAACTAGCTAAAACTGAAAACAATTTTCACTCTCAACGCCCCGAAAAAAAAAATTTCTCCCAAGGCCTTTTCATGCAGGAAAATAAAGGTCGACGGTGGGGAAAATGTGAGTCTTCGCCGCTGTGTTTGCTGTTTTTTACCGGGGGAAAAACGGCGAATATTTCCCTTTAAATGTGGGAAATTATCATGACAGGCGCGGGTCTTTGCAAACCGTTTCGAAGTAAAGAGCGCCATACGTGATGTATCCGTGTGAAAAGAAGAGCAGCTCGGCTTGTACGACAGCAACACGGCCCCGGACCCAGCACAGGCCACGGAACCCGGCCAATACCGCCCGGGAGAGGACACACAGCTCGCTTCTTACCTGCTAATATCGCCGTATCCCGCCGAGAGCGTACAAAAGAAGCAATAGTGCTCCGGCCAACGGCTGTGTTTCTCTCCGTCCTTCAGAAGTGATCGTGTGCTGTTAGCAGCAGCAGCGTCAGGCTAGCTGCACCCACACCGCAGCCGCACTTCCGGCCGGGCCTTCACAATAAGAGTCAGGGCCGAGACACACACAAAAAAGCGCATGAAAATCACATTTATGTTGTAAGATCAGTAACCCAGAATGGTGATTCCCTCTCTATATTTTTTTCCTGGTAGACCATCTCTGATTTACCTGGATTTGTTATAGTATCAAATACGGAACTATCTAAGTTTTTTTGTGAATTTTAAGCTTGATTCAAGATTCAAGAGGTTTATTGTCATGTGTACAGAAAACCAGACACTGAACAGTAAAATTATTCTTTTAACCAAAATCTACACAATGTATAAAAAAAAGCTAAAGAATTCTAAATAAATAAGCAGACTTGAAGTGACAGCAGCAGTGCTCCTAAAGTGCACTTTGCATTTGTAGACTTGGTTTGGATAAAGTTACGATAGCAGTGGTAAAGACACTACAGTAGTAATTATAAAGTGCATACTAAATTGAGGTAAACAGTTATACAGTGACGATGATATGAAGAGTTCATTTGTAAAAACAGATAACACCAATCCAGTAGATTTTCAGAAATCATTTTTTTGTTATTGTTCACTAGAGATAATATCAATCAAACTGAATTTTAGTGGATTTGACTCAAATGACATGACAAAAAAAGAGAAAACTTAAGTTTGATTGATGTTGTCTCAAGTAGACGATGGAAAAGTGGGTTTTCTGAAAGTTTTTTGAAGCTGGAGGTATCTGCTTTTGCAAATAAACTCTTCGTATACAAAACACTTAAAGCAGCGTGTGAGTATGCCCATATTTTGAAAGAAAGAAAAAAAGCATATCCAGAATTCTGTTGTACTTGGATTATGACATCCATCAGTATTTTAGTTTTTGTGGTATAACTTGTCATACCTGCTCAATCAAATAGAAAATTAACTTTTATGACGAGCTACTTTTGTTCTGCCTTATTGTGACATGCAGCTACATGTGATTGAGAAAACATCACTAATTGACTTTTGGATTATCAGTTCTTCTTTTTGTTGCTGTGTGCTCAAAATGGGACTTTCTATGGTGGCATAATTTTTTAAGAACATTTCAACCCACTTTTTTTTCTATTATAAACAAAATGCAATCAAATGTTTGTCAGATTCTAACCCTATGAACCAACACATGCTCCAAGTTGTGTTGGAAAGATTGTCTAGAATCTGCCATTGTCAGTGCTGTTATGGTGGGACACTGCATAAACTGGGAAAACATATGCTTCGTGTCTCATGGAAATAAATGCCACTATTTTCATAATTTAAGTGTGCACATAGTAGCAGAGGCAGTAAGCCAGGCAAGTGTGTTTACCCTTTTACATCATCATTTAAAGGGCCCCCAACAGCCATTTAGCCCCCAGAGTCCAGGATCCCCACGCCTACCTGTGTACAGGTGACCTTCACTCAACCTTTAATGACAACTTTTGAATCATTGCAATTAAAAGCAAATCCAATAATCCAGAGACAATGCAGACATTTGTTGTAGTTTCAAAAAATGTATCCTACTGGGGTGTAAAATTAAGCTTCCACGTATAATCTTCAGTGTGATCTGTACATAAAGAGGAGAGGTCAGCGGATGTGTTTTTTTCAGGGCCAAAAATTAGCTTTTTGCCATTTATTCTTCAGTGCTCAAAGCCTTATGATCATGTTGTGCAACCATCAGATAGTGCTGTGGACATTGCTGAAGACCACAGAGGGGGACGACAGACTGAGAGAAGCGGCTGCATCCGGGCCAAAAGTGTACATTTTTAAATTAATGTATATTTTCAAGAATCCGTGTTTCAAAAATATCAATGACGATGTTGGAAAAAATTCTAAATATTGAATTTGACAATTGGCCAGACGGACTGTCCGCCCCGGCCCCCCCGTGACCCTAGTGAGGATGAAGCGGTGTATAGATAATGGATGGATGGGTGTGGTGGTCAGTTGGGGCCAAGCAGCAAAGTTGAGGCCCTTAACAGGCTATTCCTGCAATGTACTAATCAGATGATACCATAAAAACTGACTGAACTAAGCCGGACAATAAATGCTGTATAAGTTTAGCATAATTACCAGAGGACCTAAGAATAATCCTTGTGGAACGCCTTCAATGACAATTTTATTGCTTTGGTTGAAGCAGTTTCCAACAACAGCTTATTTGCAACAGCTGTGTGCAAAATACTCAGTCCAATTTTTATCTAACAAAATGCTGTCAGAAGAGGCAAAAGCCTTGGACGGCTCTACAGAAAATTCCCCAATATGTTGCTTTATATCAAATGAGTCAACATTATTATTCACAACAGCAGTGGTAGCAGTTATTTCACTACAATCTCATGTAAAGCCTGAATGCTGGAGGTAAAGGACGGAACTATTACACACACACACACACAAAACACATAACTGTTAGTTGATAAGTGAATCTACAAGACTTTACAATCAGAATCATTTTAATTACCAAGTATAGGTGTTCAAGGAAGTTGCCTTGGTCAACTGAGTTAACAAAAAACAAACAATAAAACAAACAAACAAAAGCAAAGAGGTAAAAGTAAAGTAATTCATAGCAGCACAGAATATGAGTAGAATAAGTAATGAAATAGACTAGATTGGACTTAAAGGTTGCAGAGAGGATTGTGTTAGCACAGCTTACATTTACAGCCTCACTGTTGTGTAGAGTTCTCACCTCTGTGTCGTGAAACTGCCTGAACTGTTACATTTAAACACCACAAACCACCGCAAGCCACACAACCTATATCAGACTTATCAAATGACCTCCAAAAACAATGTTCCTACGCAGGAACGCAGCTCAGAAACTTTCTGTATAAATGAAAACAGAGATATTCCGTGTGTGATAATGTGATGATAATGTGGTGCGGTGAACAAAGATCTTCTGATGCTTTCTACATTCTTTTTTTTCTCAGCATCTGGTTTACTGTGGTGCTTGGAAAATGCTGAAGGGTGATTTCCACCCACAGTGCCTGTCATCAGCTATTAGTGGGAGCAGGATGGTGCATCTGTGATGATATGGGCCTCATCTGGGAGTCATGAGGAAGAAAGATGCTCAACATGGTTATACTGGTAAAGGAGCCTGAATTATTTAGGAGCAGGAACCAATGTATTGAATATTGATTTTTTGTTTTAACATTGAATATATCCAGTTAAACTTGTGTTATGGTTGTTTTTATTTGGTTTTCTTGTGACGTCTGTGAATGAACAAAAATATGTTAAAGATTTGATATCAAAAGACAATAGAGTTGAACAATAGAATTCATTTATTGTTATTGCGCAATGCACAACCCAGTTAGGCAGCAATTATGTCAGTGCATTCATAAAATCAAACAAAAATGTTTCAAGAGTAGAGTAAGAAATGTGCAAATATAAAATATAAAAAATACAGCAAAAAACTAGTATGTACAAGTTTATCTTGCTGATCGCTTATCCAGTTTATTAAGAATTCTAAAATCAGTAGTGTCACTGATGTTGCACTGCAAATTACTGAATATATATGAAAACGTAATGACTTAAAGTCGTGCAAGACAAGATGCAGCTGTATGTGTATGCTTGTGTCTTTTCAGTATATAAATACGAGGAGTGTCTGAGAACATAAGATAAGATAAAACTTTAACAATCCTGAAGGAAATTCTTGTGGCAGATATTGCTCAGAAAAAAACAAAACAACATAACATAAGAATACATGCAGCGCCTAGTAGAAAAGCAGTAAGATGTAATAACGGTGCATTAGAATAAACAAGCTAAAATAGGACTAGAGTAGAAAAGTGAAAATAATATTGAGGTAAAAAGCAATATCACACATGATAATGAAATATTACACATGAAATTTAAATACTGGCCCTGAAAAATGAAATATTGCACATTAAGTGTTGGCTTTGTTGCACATGAAAGTGAAATATTGCACATGTAATCAAAATATTGCACATGAAAATTAAATGTCAAGCATGACACTGAAACTGATGTTGATATATAAGAAGGAGAAGAAAAATTGCAGCTAATAAACCCAGTTCCAATAAATATCGCCCTGTTGTAATTTTACGCGATTTTATATTACTAAATCCCATACAGATAAGATTAAAAATCAAATTTTTCCCAACTGTTTTATCTTGTCAAGAGAATTTAGTTGAGTTTGATTTTATTTACAGCGCATCTCGGCAGAGCGGTTTCCCTTCACCATCTTAGGTTGCTCCACCAACACGAATAATGTGATCAATAAAACAAGCGCATCCAAAGTGAAAAGGGCGTTTCCGCAACTGAGCTCCGCCGAACATGATTGGTCAGAATAGACGTCAGTTATTTTGTATAGCAAAACATACCCGCCCAGTGTCCCCGGGATGACGAGAGGACGGGTGTTACTTTCGGCAGAAGAGAACAGGGAAATGAAGTTGTCAGACAGGCCAGCCCAGCAACTCTGTCTCTACAAGTAGGCAGCTAGCAACTTCGGAGAGACTCACACGAAATATCACAGATATGAATGTCGTCCGTTTGAGCAACTTGTAGCCACAGTTGGTGCGACTTTACCCACTATATTAAAAAAAAGTCTGTATCGTCGCCTGTAGCTAACTGAAGAAAGTGGAGACAACTTGCGAGCCTGCTAGCTAACCTTTAGCCACCGAGCGTCTTTCGGCTTCAAAACTAGACTTCATTCGGTGAGTCCTGACAGCCTGAACTAAATATTTCAGCAGCGTGTTGTGTGTGTGTGTGTGTGTGTTTTCCACCGCCCTCGATGTCTAACTGCGTCCTGTTGTTGGTTTGCCTGCTCCTCGCTACAGCTAACTAGGTCACAAGCTAGCTCAACTTTGTCGATGAGCACTTTTAAAGTCTTATAATTGTCTCTTGCCATCGTTTTTTTTAGATTAGAAAGTTGTGTTATTCAACTGGGCTAACTTTATGTTAACATGGAGACACTTGTTTAGTTTATCCGCCTCAAACTCACCTTGGCGGTGTTACTTCAGCGCTAATGTACCCGCATTATCTCTTTAAACTAGCTAACCTGGTGTAATTATCGCTAGCAACGTTAGCTAGCTTTTTGTGTTGTTCTGAGCTTTAATATTATGTCAGAGTTGATTACCTTTAGTTAACTAACTTAGCTGTAGCATTGTTTTTCCTCAGGTGAGCGTTTTTTAGTTATTTCCTGATGCAGAGAGTTGCAGGAAGTTGAACTGCTGTCATTGTAAAACAGTGTTTTATATCACCAGAGCTCTGGGTTTGGATCACCTGTCTTCAGTCATGCCGTTTCCTTTTGGGAAGTCTCAGAAGAGTCCTGCTGAAATAGTGAGGAGTCTGAAGGAGAATGTGGCGTACATGGAGAAGCTCGATGCTGCAGACAGCAAAAAGTGTGAGAAGGTCAGCAGTGGATTTGCCCTCTGGGTGTTGTAAAATGTTTAATTTTGCATCAGTTTCAACATCAACTTGATCGCCCTTCTCGGTGTTTCCTATTCCCAAGGTTGCGGAGGAGGCGTCCAAAAATCTTGCTTCGCTGAAGGAGGTACTTTGTGGAACAGGTGACAAGGAGCCTCAAACTGAAGCAGTGGCTCAGCTTGCACAGGAGCTGTACAACACCAACCTGCTCATTGCTCTCATTGCAAACCTGCAGAAGATTGATTTTGAGGTGAGGGGAAATGCACTGCTTTCTGCTAACTATTGATTAATTTGTATAGACATCAAATAGGAGTGTGCATGCCTGATCTGAACATGTATGCCCAAAGCAAAACTGTCTTTGCGTATCAGCACTCAGCCAGCCATTTATCTGTCTGAGTGGTTGTTGTTTTACAGGGGAAGAAGGATGTGGTCCATTTGTTCAGCAATATTGTGAGACGTCAGATTGGAACTCGCACACCCACCGTAGAATACATCTCTACACACCCACAGATTCTCTTCATGCTTCTGAAAGGGTAAGTTACTCTTTTCAGTCTGCAGGAACTCTGTATTTGGTAATTTGATGTCAAGTTGCATGTATCAACAGCAAAACCACCTTTAGGGACTAATGAACTGGTAAAAATCACCCGTACGAAGCAAAACTGGTTTTGTTGTTGTTACTTTTTAAGGCTATTGGTAAAATCACTTTCCCTGAACATACCTTATGATTTTCTGCATTACACAGTATGCGTTTCAACAACTCCCCAGAGCAACATGCGGGAACTTGTTGCACTCACCTGTGGGTTACACATCTAGATGGATAGAAAGATAGTCGAGTGCTGGTTTTACAGCTCTTCAAACTGAGTCATCCAGCCCGCTCAGAGAGCAGCCATGTGCTGCGGGTGCACTGCTGTACAGTCGACTTGAGGCTGCCGTCAGTGGATCAGTACTATTTTAGCCACTTGCTAGTGCTGTGACGGATTTATTCTGCTGTTTTTTTAATTTTATTTTATTTATAAATTTCACATCTATAAGGAGAACTTTGCAGTTTGTCAGAGGTGGACATAAAAACTTGATTGTACAGTAGTTATTCTGCTGCTAATAAACCCCCCTGTACTTTTGGCCAGCCATCTGCAGGCATGGAAAAATACATCATCATGGAAAATTAGGCCTAAAAATGTAATATTCATTACTGGAAATACAAATGTAATGTCCTTTTAACAGTGCTAAAAGTGCTTATGGTGGATTTTCCCTCAGGTTATTGATTATTTTCAGTGTTACATCTACAGTGTAGGTTTTATAAGCGCTCTGTGATGAATTCTGATGATGTGTGTTACTTCTCTTGCTTCTCTTGGACCTGACATGTATTAACCTGTACAGATATGAGAGCGCTGAAGTGGCTCTTAACTGTGGCATGATGCTGAGAGAGTGCCTGCGTCACGAGCCTTTGGCAAGGACAGTGCTCTTCTCTGAAGAGTTCTACTGCTTCTTCCGTTACGTGGAGCTCTCAACCTTTGACATTGCCTCAGACGCTTTCGCCTCATTCAAGGTAAACCCATATTTTCTTAGCAATAGCAGCATTTCCATGCTAACAGTTCCTAGCTTATAACCTTGTTTTTTTCTGTTGCCTCTCAGGATCTTCTCACAAGACACAAGATCATGTGTGCAGATTTCCTGGAGAACAATTATGACAGGGTGAGTTCTCTGGTGTAGATTTTGCTTTTTAATTGATACACTTGTAAGTCTGCGGCTAACGTGATTTTTAAATGTCTGTTAGGTGTTCACAGAGTACGAAAAACTCCTGCATTCTGACAACTACGTCACCAAACGGCAGTCTTTAAAGGTAGGTGCTGCTGCTCGGTCAAATAAAAATCACTGCTGCACTTTGATTTTAGCTGAAGACTTGAGTTTAACCGACTTGCTTTAGTTGCCTGTGCATTGATTCAGTAAATTATTTACCATGTTTCAGCTCCTTGGGGAACTCCTCCTGGATCGACACAACTTCACTGTCATGACGAAGTACATCAGTCGGGCAGAGAATTTGAAACTGATGATGAACTTGCTGAGAGATAACAGCCGAAACATCCAGTTCGAAGCATTCCACGTCTTCAAGGTATGCACATAAACTACAGTTTGCAAACACTTGTAAATACCACGTACGTTAGGGCAGTTCTGAGTGACTCTCATAACTCTTAAACTTTCCGTGATGGAATCTTTGAAATGCACTTTGTCACAAAAACAAACATGCATTTTGGTTCTTTTATAGATTTATTATCAGTCTTCTGGAAATCTGCTGGGTCAAAAATACACACAGAAATTTGGATTATCAGTTTTGTTGATGTAGAAAGTTGTAGTAATCAAGTTTTTTTTTTTTTGGTGGCTTCTTAACTTGTGAGTGATTGCAATTGACTACATCTGCTGACTTCTGAGTCAATTTAAATAGACCCAAAGACACTTCTGTAGAGAATTAAGCAGCACTGGAAACCCAAGACTGCTTTAATATACATGGCCTTTATAAGTGTATGTAAACTTTTGTTCACTACTCATATCATCATTGCAAGAATTCACAGTTTATACATTGAGATTGTGTCATAAAAACCCATGTTAGCTTGTAAAATATGGTCATTTTCACTGACGTAGCCCCTGACATTTGGAGGAAACCTGTGAAATCATCAGTTTACATCATCTCTCTCCCTTTCAAAGGTATTTGTTGCAAACCCCAACAAGACTCAGCCCGTGCTGGACATCCTGCTGAAGAACCAGACCAAGCTCGTGGAGTTCCTGAGCCACTTCCAGACGGACAGATCCGAGGACGAGCAGTTTTGCGACGAGAAAAACTATCTGATAAAGCAGATCCGGGACCTGAAGAGACCCACGGCACCCGAGGAAGCTTAACGCTTGCAGGGGACGGCCGCGCTGTCAGGTGGTAGATGTTAGAGGTGGTGGTTGGATCTGCAGAGGGCTGAGTGAAAGTCTGACAAACATGCTTCATTAAAATCTAATAATACGTACAAAGTATAGGAAAAAAAAAAACAAAAAAAAAAAATGTTACTACTTCCTTCACTTTCTGGTTTAGTGTGGATGTGGAGGTGATTTCCATCCAGCAACCTGAGTGGGCCAAGAACTGTTATTTAAACCACAGTGCTTCTTCTTTAGCGATAATGAAATGCCTTTAGTCCGTTTTTGTAACGTTGGACCTTAAACTGTTACCCTTCCACATGCATCGTTGCTGGCAGAGACCGTAGACTGACAGAAATTTCACACCATTCACAGCTAACTCGGGCTCTGTGGTGTTTTTTGAAAGTCCTTTTCCAGAACTTGTCTATATTTTAGCGATTGAAATGCTGAGAAGTAAATATATTATTTTTCTAATGTATCTGCTGGTAAACCGTTTGAAGCGGACAGTAACTCTTCTCTCTGAACACTTCCTTCAGCGACATGCTTAGGTTTGGTTTATCGTAAGCTGTTTTTTTTTCTAAAGGGACTCAGCTTTAGATATACGGCTTCGGCAGAGTGACATTTTGATCACGTTGGCGAGGTCAGCACGCAGTAGTAATATTTGGTGATTAATGTGCCGTTATTCGGCCTTTGGCTGCATGTGTGAGGTTACAGAGGGCAGGAACAACCCTGCAGTGCTGTACTTGCCAATGCATTAGCCGTCAACGGAAGAGAAAATCAAAACCATAGAGGAATCAATTAATTGCGCTGTGATTTTTTTTTTTTCGGCTGTGCTCTGCGCTGCTTACAAGACTGAAATAGTAACAGAGCATCAGATAATGCTGCAGGGTACCAGCAGTCCGTTCGTGGCAAACATGGACAGCCAGGATGTACCAATTGATCTCACTGGGAGCACTCCATTTCATCTTCACATACTGAGCACAGAGAGCAGAGATTTAACGAAACATAAGCACAGTGTAGCACGAGAAGCAATACCGCTGTAGCTCTGAGGATGCGTCTCGAGAATGTTGCGCCGTGTTATTTGTTATATTCGTATCAGACATGTTGAAGAGATTTCTGACTTTCACCAGGGATCGTTGTTTTGTTGAATAACTTTCCCGATCTCTTCTTCTTTCCCGACGTATTAAACATCTGCTGCGCTGGACTTCGGGAGTAAATCGACCGCAATATTTTTTGCTGAAACAAAATCACTGGGGTTGTAGTCAACCGAAGAAAATGACAGAAGTCTTATCTACTCTTCAACCAATCGATTGATTGTGGGGGGAAAAAAAATCTGTACATTAACTAAATTGGCTGCAGTGCTCTGAGTTCACTCCACCTGCAGGATTATTAGTCCTAATGAATTATAAATAAAGATAAAAAAGCTTGGATTTGCAGCATATTGGATCATTTAAACTCATTACGTTCTACTGAGATAACAGACCAGCATGCTCCTGCACGTGTTCATATGATTTCTGAAAATAGATTTTTCTCAACTTGTGATCCGGCACAAGAGCTGCAGAGGAATAAAACGCAGACTAGCTAGCTGCTGTTTTTAGAGGATCTGTTGGTTGCTGAGCTGTGATATACAAACTGCTGTCTGCTCAGTTTACACTCTTTGAGACCAACTGTTTGAACACAATGCAGCTAACAGCTTCTTTGACATGTGGTCAGTTGCTTTTAAAGCCCAATAAAATAGGTTTGACCTGGCAGTCACCAATAGGTTGGGCGAGTTCAAAGTTGGCAAAATGCAATCTGTTCCTCCTAAACAATGGATTAATCCCGGAAGGCTGTTGATATGCCGCCTTTCTTGTTATAAAAGTAACACCAGAGATTAACCAACCGATGAGTGTTTGGACACAACAGTCCTAAAAATCACTCATATCGACTTAATCTCATGTAAACAACAACTCCCAACACAAAAGCAGGTGTTAAATACAATAACTTCAACACTTTTGTCTCTTTTCTGATATGATAATAACATTTTGATAGAATACGCTGCAACGTGCCCGCGACGCATCCCAAAGCAGCTTCAATGAGATGTCACCGGACTTGTCAGAATAACCACATGCACTGTTTCAACACGAATCCGTTTGTTCTGGATGACGAGCACTGAATTTGTTCCTCACACGCGTTACTGATCAGCAATATTTCTTTCAGAGGACTCTTGCCTTACTTCTGCCACGCAGTCACTAAAAATGGCTGAAATTAGGGACTTCAAGATGTGTTGTCTGTGCACAGTCTTTTAGTATATACCTCATGGGATTTGAGTTTGCAGATGCTGTGTTCTCTTTCTTTCTTTTCTTTTCTTTCTTTCCTCGATATTTTATTTGACATTTTTAAAACACGCAACAGTGGTTTGTATGCACGCCTGAATTACGATATACAGTGTATGTTCACACTTGAACAGGGACTGCAGCCTGGTTTTCTCAAAGGAAAGCTAGATTTTTAAACTGAACTCTTTTCATTGGGTGGCGCCACACCAACGTTAATTCATAATGAATTGCAGTGTGGTACCTTGTAATGAATGTTGCCTTATTTAAAGACCTTTAATGGATCGTAATGATCGTGTAAAATTCCAGACCTCTTAATTTGTTTTTAAACCAAAGTCGATATAAAAAGGGCAAAAAAAAATGTACATTTCAAGTCCCAAATGCATAACTAGTTAATTTCTCAGGTTCACGTGTAAAGTAAGTTTTATTGTTTTGTTTTTTTTGCCGACTGCGTTACGCTCCAAACATGATCCTGCGAGTGTAAATATATTTTAATCGAGATCAGTAAACATCACTCGGAGTACTTTTTCAGTTCTGGTTAACTTGCTTTTTCTGTTTTTCTGTTTTTTATTTCTTTTTAAATCACTGATTGCTGTCTGGTTAAACTGCACCAGATAGTCGGTATCAGGCCTTTCAGGGGCCATGAAATAATTTGAGAACTTAGCTGTGAATGTGGTACATTATGCATAAAAAAAAAAAGACTGAAGTCCTGCACACAGTACGCTGTCATGTCATCAGCTTATGAAAGAAAGTTAAAAACCGTGTTTGAAACTACCCCAAACGTTCAGATCCTTTGTGAAACGATTCTGAAGTCATTTGATTTAAACACACAGCAGGAAGTGAGAACTAACGAGCTCAAACAAACTCACCATTCGCTGACAAAACAGTCGATCCTCAGTAATATTATCCCAGATTATTTGACTTCGGTGTAACAGAAGAATTAAAAAAAAAAAAGTTGGTGGTTTTTTTCCAGATTGGCTGTGTGAATGTGTTCCAGCTTTCTTGAAATTTGAGTCCAGTCATGACATGCACTTTGGGAAGGACGTGTTGTTCTCAGCCCCGCCACCAGAGGGAGCTGCTGGCAACAGTTGGCACCTTGTATTAGTTGTACAAACAAAGCATTTCATGTTTCCATAACCCTACCTCCAGTTATATGAATCACTGGCGAAGCTATATAGACGTCAACTCCTTCAGATCAGTGCTATATATTTCATGATTTAGAGTTTTCTGTTTTTTTTTTTTTTTTGTGCTTGACTTTTTCTTTATTTTTTTTTTTTTTACTCTGTTGCCTTCTTTTTCCCCTTTTCTCTTTCCCACACTGGATATTTTATTTACCATGGGAGCGAAATATGTGTACATAACTTTATAAAGGATAAGTGATGTGTGAAAGCATTCATGAAAATAAAACGTTACGGCAATTTGTTTTGTGGACGCTTCCTCATTAGACTTATTGTTTTTATTGTGTTTGCAGGAAAAAAAACGCTGCTTGACAACTTTGTTTTATTATATTTAAAGCAGAACACTTTCATCAATCTAATGCAGATGTGTAGCTGTGTAATTACCAGCATAGTTTTAATCAATTTAAGCCTCAAGCAACATGTAGTTCATCTTAACAGCTAAATATTTTTGTAGTAAGGCTGCAGGGTTGTATAGATAAACCTGTCATAACTGATTTTTTTCCCAACCACAGTTGTTTATTTACACATCCAGCAGTTAAAAAGTTGTTACAGTCCACTTAGACAGTGAGAGCAGCCATTTTGGCTCCAGTTTCACTTTGGTTTCGGTCTCTACAAACTCCAGATATGTGCCTGTTTATCTGCAAACATCTACAGTATGTTCAGCAGCTAGTCTGTGTCTTCTGGTAGTTGTGAGCAGGCAGCTGGTGAACTGGGTTTTTACAGCTGAGAATACCTGCATGTTGCACCTGAACGCAACACTGCTAGAACACCGAGGACAGCTGCTTCACAATGAGATGAAAGCCACCATGAAGCAGACAAGAGATGCAGATTCAAGTTAAACATTTAGAATGTGCTCAAAGTATAATTATTATTATTACAGATTTTTTTTCTTACTTTTATTTTGATGCAGTGTTTGCAGTGACCAGAAGAACCCAGATTATAATAGAAGATTAGGTTCTGAAAAAAATTATTCCAGCTCCTTCAGCTATTCTGGAAGCACCTGCTCTAGTTGCTTAGAAATCATAATTGATTAATTGATCATTTAAGGTGAGACACTCCAGACAAAAACATTTTTTTTGTGACAATTTTGAAATTTGGGGCTATTTTGCTTCCAGAATATCTTCTGCCAGATTTGTGAGAAGAAAACATTCACATGTAATTCAATTCAATTCAATTCAGTTTTATTTGTATAGCGCATATTTACAACGACAAGTCATCTCATAGCGCTTAAAGGCAGAAACACCCAACAATCCAAACATTTGGATTCCCTATAAGCTTCAGCAGTCCGCAAGCAGTCTGGGGGAAAAAAAAACCTCAGACAGAACCAGGCTCAGGGAGGGACGGCCATCTGCCTCGACCGGTTGGGTGGATGTGGGATGAATTGTTGAACATTTTGTTTAGTTCAGGGGTGTCGAATTCTGCTCCTCGAGGGCCGCAATCCTGCAAGTTTTAGATGTTTCCTTCTTCCAACACACCTGATTCAAATGATCAGGGTCGTTATCAGGCTTCTGCAGAGCTTGATGATGAGCTGATTATTTGAATCACGTGTGTTGGAAGAGGGAAACATCTAAAACTTGCAGGATTGCGGCCCTCCAGGACCAGGATTCGACACCCCTGGTTTAGTTTATTTTACTGGAGTTTGTTTTTTGGATGCATGAGATGAGATAATAACCTCATTTGCACGTTTACATGCACATAAAATATCAGAAAACTTTAAAAAAAGAAGAAGAAGAAGCAGTTATCTCATTGTAGGTAAATATGGAGATTTCATGTTGATTTGTTGGTTAAAAGCTTAACACGTAAACTGAGGCTTCCATAAAGAATGTATAGAGTTTCATCATTTATATCTTCAGTGGCTGTTTCCTGCGACTCTGAGCCAAAAGGCTCCTCTTCAGTAGCTCTTCCAGACTTTCCAGTTTTGTTCTGATCTGTATTCTAAAGGTTTTTACTGAAGATGTTGTTCATATATCATTCATAGTCCGGCTTTAGAACATTTTATTCCTAAAAACAAGGTGAAAATTGATTTTGGAGTTGGATTTTTTTTCTTTTGACAGTATTTTCTGACTCATGAGTGATAACAAAAGATAACTAAAAGTCTCCATAAAACCTTTTGGCTCCAATATGTCAACAAAATGAAAGAAGAATTTTAAATCCACATTGTGTTTAGATGTTATTTAGACAGATAACATCCTGTGTGTGTATCTGAACAGGAAGCTTGAAGTACAAAAGTAACTCAGTCGTCATAAATAATCAGCCTGAGAAGATTCATGATGGTAACTGCTGGTTCTCATTTTTACTGTGTTCACTTGTAGCATCTCACCTTAAACCATTTATCAAACAAAATATGCTGATTCCAGGGATTTGATGTTTTTCTGTTTCGAGCTCGTCTTGATCTTTAGGGACCATTCATGAACGTCCACTTAACGAACACTGGTTAGTTTTTAACTGACGAATGAACACGTGATCCAGGGCTGTTGGGCTGTTTTCTGCAATTCATTTATTACGTGACATAATTTTTTAATATCATCTGTTTAATTCTAACTAATTAGTTCATAATAGATATCTACAAGTCTTCCTACATTACAGAGTTGTAGATGAAAATTCTAATGATCTAAAACTCAATTCTGATCAATCAAATGTGAAACCACTGCAAACATGTGATCTTAGATATCTAGAAAAGCAGTTCTGGGCAACTACCATGCAACCCTATGTATGAATCACTGCTCGTCAGCCCCACTGATTAAATGCTACAGAGAAAATAGAGCCTTTATTCTCACACAAATTGGAAATGCTTCTCCTTCAGCACAAGGAATTTCAAGTATCTGCAAAAACAACATTCTTTTGAGTAAAAAAAAAAACGTATATTACACTTTAAAAAGTGTGTGTTGCACCAGCATGTAGTTAAATTGCACTTGTTCTTGCACAATGGCAGCATGTGTGTGGTAAAAGGAAGCATGTTTGCCCACACATCTGAATCAAGTCCATCCCCTTTACATGCTTCCAACTTGTTTACCCAGTAGTGCACATTAATGCCGTTCCAGATCTCCCCCCTCCTCCCAGCTCAGAGCGCGGGGTTACTGGTGTCAGCCCAGTTCAAAACACTGGGACACATTCCATCCTACCAGGAGGTGTCCAACATGAGGCCTGTTCAATACGCTGGCAGCCTATTGTCTGTGAGGAGCTGCAGACTTATTAAACTAATACACAGCAGTGGGACTCCTGCAGGTTTATTAGATGTAGCTGCTTACATTCACACACAATGCAAAAAAAAAATAATCTAACAGACCATAATTAACCCTGTTGCTTTATAGGGCTGCATGAGATCAAGAAATGAGTGAAGTCAAATGTGCAGCCACATTGTTCCTTCTCTTAAACTCCACCAATCAGAGCCCACACAGGCGCAGCATGGGAAAGTGGGTTAAAGTTCAACCAGGGAAGAAGGCAAGTGAGGCAACGCTGCAGCCCGGGTTCCCACAGTGAGGGGAGATCCAGCGGCATGCTCTGCACACCAGCCCGCATCCCTCAACCGTGGAGCTCAGGTGCAAGGAAAAAAAAATTACAATCCGCTGATTATTTGTGTGCATGTGAGTGAGGGCCTGGTGGTGCGGGACGGACGGACGCCTGCAGCCGGAGCAGAAGGCTCGGTGGGGGCAGGGTTTTACAGAGGTTACAGGTCACAAGCCTCCTGGGTTCCTTTTGACCAGCGCCGCGCAGAAAGAAGTAGCGAGATGCGCCAGTAAAACTCTCCTCACTCCGGTTTGGCAAATCCAGAATTTATCGGCCGCCGCGGAGGAAAGCGTCTGACGCATGGTGCCAAAAACCTCCATCCTGGAGGATTTTGACGGATCCGCAGAGGAGTGCGTCGCCTCCGTGCGCTCCTGTCCACCCCAACCCCCACAAAGAGGAAAACAACCGAAAAAAGATGCGCTCACGATTTCATGCATGGCGAAACTTTTTGTGTGCAGAAAAAGGGTTGCAAAGGAGGCTGCAGGAGACACAAGCATCTCCGGAGTGAAGGTACGTGGTGCTTCGTGCGTAACAGTGGATTCATTCTCCATCCAAAGGTAGGCTGGCTGCTGCAGCTTCTCCTCCTTATTGACTGATTATAAGAAGCCTTTGTTTCCATTTTTAGAAACTCTAAACCATCAGGAAAATGTTTGCAGGATGTTGTCTCGTCTGATTTGGCTGCTTCCTTAACAAGCTTTGTGCTCTCAGACTTTTTTTTTTTTTCCACCATCACTGGAATCCTCAAACTTCACGTTTTCTCTCCATCAGGAGCCACAATGGCTTGTTAAAGTTGAAGTCTTTGTTGGGTGTTTTCAGGCTGAGCTGGTCACTGTTAATCCGCACAGACTCACAAAATTCATCCGCTCCGGTCCTCAGCAGCTGCTCGTGTTTCTATTAATTGCGTAATTGGACGTGATCGCCATTGAGCTGCGTGTTCTTTTTTTTTTTTTTAATTGAGGGGAGTTGACGCGCTCATCATCACATCATCAGACGCTGTTGGCGCCACTTTGTGAAATCACAGCTCTGCGACCTCATTCATAAAAGTCATTATGACTCAGACACGAAGCCTCCAGCCAAAGACAATAGATTATGAAGTAAAAATGGTTTCTGATGCTGTGCTTTGTGAGCATGTTTTTATTGAAATGTGGAGCTTTAAATTCGGATTAAGCTCCCCTCCCCCTCGTGTGCGGCGTGGGACAGCCAGGGAAACCTGTGGAGAGTCCAACAACCTGCAAATATCTGGATTAATATACAGAAATAATATATTATTGGACACTGGAAAAGACAGAAAATACACTTCTGATAAATGGAAATTTCCAAACCTGTGGCATCAACAATGAAAGCTATCATTAAACTGTAATCTAAGTTTTCAGATCCACATTTACTGACCTATTTAGTATATTTTTGAATTACTTTTCAAGACTTTTTTTCATATTACGTTACTTTCTGCGAATATATTTCAACACAAAACATTTTACTGCATTTATTTCACAGCTGAGTTTGCAGATAATCGTTTATTTGAAGCATCGGCTCATAAAATGCATGTGAAATTATTAAAATCAGTCTAATTTTCATGTGCTATTTGATTCAAAGCTTCTACTCTCCAGTGAGTATTCCTGCATGTTGTTGTTAGTTTTACTCCAGCTGTCGATCTGGGCGCTTCATTAACCCCTCTGAATCTTAAGTTTCTGGAAGTTTGCTTTACTTTCTCTCACATCCCTAATCTGCATCGATTTCAACGAGTTATACCACTTGAAAGACAAACGGCTTCATTCTGCAGCATCTCGCAAAGTGCTCATTCTGTGGTAATGATTTACAGCAGCAGGTTAAATATTTATATTCATTTGTCACTCTCGATTGATTTTGTTTCAGATGCTGCAGCCTGGAAGCGTTTTGTCTGGAGGAGCAGGAAGTGTCGGGTCCATCAGCTCCCTCCCCTCCTCGTCACGGTTCTCCAGCTAAGGTGCATCTAGTGTAGTTAGTGAAGTAGTTCAGCATCTACTGCCCTAGTTGCTCCTTCTGGCTGGAGGGCTCGTCCTTTTTCAGCGTCGGAAAGATTTTTCACCACACTTGACCTGAAAACTTGTGATGATGAAAAGCCCAAAGTGCTTGTTTTTAGAGCACAAATATGCTATTCCTCCTGTTTTCAGCTGATTGACTGCGAGTGCCACATGTGATAGAGCAAAAAAAAGAAAAAAAAAGCATGTCACCGCTCTTAAAACACAATCTGAAGCTATATATTGTAACAGAATGCATGCATTCAATGTACAGTGATGCACAAATTATGTACGTACTAAACAAATGATCCTTCAGCAGGATTCACTGTGGAAGTCTGCAGTTAGAGTTTCATTATCATGTGTTGCATAAATGTGAAGGTTAATAGAAGGGATGCGAGATAATATCAGTTTCAGCAGATAAAGGCTTTAAAATTAAATATCAACGTCACCCAGAATGAGAATTGACAGGCAGATAAGATGAAAATGTTGGATAAAAAAATAGAGGCAGTAGTTTTCCCAGTGATTATTTAAATTTTAAAAAGCGTTTTATGTCTGCACCTCCCAGCAGGCCGTCATAAGAGAAGGTGTGATAGTAATGTTAACGCCACTGCAGGAGAGAGCTGATGATTCCTGCATTTCGTAGGAGAATGTGCTTATATTGGTTTCTGCAATCAGCCAAAATAAGTTGGTAAATAACGACATATCGGATATCAATGAAACTCCAGTATTGTGCACCCCTACAGCTGTCAGTGTGTCACATCTATCCGTGTTTGTGCTCAGGTTTCCCCCCTCAGCTGAACACGCTGTGGACTTTGCAGTTCCAAAGTGCTCACAGTGCAGGTAGTACACACTGATCTACTGCAGTTTGTGCACTTCAGGTGCTGCTGGTCACCTTCCATCAGCCCGTCCGCGGCGCTTCCAGGTGGAACTCGACTGGGTTTACAGACAGTTTTGTTGGTTTGCTGTCAGCTTCTGCCAATCTCTGCTGTGCAAATCCATGCAAAGCTCTCTGTTGCTCAGACACACAAACACAGATATATGGTTTTTATTTTCTCTGCTTCCAAGCTTTGAGGAACACTTGAAACACGTTCTTCCGCCGCCGCCACCACCGGGTGTTCAAGAGAGGAGCTGCTGTTTGTTTGGTTGTGTCAGTGATGTCGCAGGCATGTTAACATTTTCTTTGACTTTGCTGTTTGTCTCGCTGTTTTCGGATGGATGACTCCGCAATTTCAACACTTGACAAGATGACAGAAATTGCACAGTATCCATCTGCAATCCGCCAGATGTTGGGAAACGGCTGCACATTGTTGTGTGTAAAAAAAAAATCTGCAAAAATCAAAGTGTCTTCTTCTGACTTGATGAGCTTTGTTCAGTCTGCAGGTACAAATGTTGGAACCACTTGTGTCTGCTGAACACTAGATGGCACCATCTCAGCTTTAATGGCTGTTTGGAGCTGAGTTGTGCACTCAGGATGAGATTAATAGGGACAAAGAAAGCAAAATCTAATTAGATAATGTTTTAGAATTAGATTTGTGTAATTACTGGAGATAGAATTAGACTGTTCATGCCCACTTTTGCATGATTTGTACAGATTTCTAAATGCTCCATTTGATTTCCGCTCACTTTGTTCATGTGATTGAATAATTAAAGGACATTTCCAGCTCATGCAACTGTGTTTGATCTTTATTTGAATATATGTGCAGCTCCTGAGCACTTTTGTTGTGTGAATATATTAAACCAGGCCTGTACAGGTACTGTGCCCTAATTGCATCCTATAACATACAGTGCCATTCATCTAAAGCGACACCAGCCCTCGTAGCGCATTAATCCCCTCCTATCTCCACTCCTGCACCCACACAGGGCCAATGGATCAGCTCACATCTCTACTATCACAGAGAGGGGAGAATCTCTCCGTACGCGCTGCCGGTTTCACGCCGTGGCGCGCGCTTTTGGTGGGGTGCGCGCACATGTATCCGGGGCTCGGTCATCAGTGCGGAGCCTCAGTGCCGCGAGTGGAGAAGGACTCATAAGTTATCAGTGTAGCTTCACCAAGAGACTCCACCGAGCAGCTCTCCGGTCGGACGGACGCGTTAAAGGCGAGCGTAAAGCGAAGGATGCGGATCCGAGCGGAGCCGGGAGCTGCAGCTTCACCTCGTCAGCGCCAAAGCGGGATGCCGCTGTAACTTTTAATGTGCCGAAGTTGATCTCACCTGTTCGTTGCTCCGCTTCCGTCCGGTTTTGGCAACGCACTTCCCGCCCGCCATGCCTGGTCCGGCGGTCCACGGTGCGCTCTTCGTGTGCGCATTCCTCCAGCTGTTCTCCCTCCCCGGCGGACAGGTGCCGAACTGCCAGGAGGTGCGCACCGTGTTCCAGTCTCTGCACCCGGGGTCCAAGTGGGTCCCCGAAACCCCGGTGTCAGGTAACTCTCATCGGTCTAACAGCTGCTACAAACGGGGCAGAGCTGCTCCACGCTTTTTGCGCACTTTATGCACTGTAGGCTAAAGTGGATTTGACTGATTCAGCAGCGACTGAAAACACTCTTGTTCCATTTCACTGTGCAGTTTGAGAGGAGATTACCTTTACAACAGTTTTGTTAAAAGGCTGACCTCTCCGGTGTTAGCGGTGAGAGCCAACCCACACACTCTCTCCGTCGACATTTACCAACCTGCTGTGAAACATCCACGTTAAGTAGGTAAAAAAATGCAGGTTGGATTATGTAAACCACTTAACAAGCTGATGGAATCGATTCGTTCTGGTATTGATTCAAGCCTTTTCCTGAAAACTAACTTTGATTTGTTCAGCATATTGAAAACTGGAAGGAGACATGAGGACATTTTTGCAAATACTTGCTATGTGGGTTGGAAAAAAAACAAATGTTTGATGCTTGTTCTTTTTCTGTACATGAGAATAGAGTCAAAGTCAAGAAGAAAAGATTATTAATGATGTTCAGGCTGGTCTCTTGACAGCAACATTATCACAGAGTCTAAATTAATGGTGTTCTCAGCAATTTTGTAAAAGATGCAGGAGGGTTCTTGAGCCTAAATGTCACTGGTTTCTGTCTTGTCTGATGAGGGAGGAACACGTCTTTAGTTAATAATTCAGCTCTTTGTGGGATAGAAATAACAGCACCAATCCTCTGTTCTGTTTTGCTGCACGTTGGGAGCCTGTTGCATGCATTCTGATTCAGTATGTAAATGCAGATCCCTCTCATGCTGCTGAATCACAGCCAGCTGCAAATGTTAATTGGGTTTTTTCTTTTTTTTTTAGTGTCATGTCAGCACAGGGGAAGTGCTCCAGGTTAACTGTTTTCTCTCCATTATCAGCATGCAATCCTCACACACTGATTCAAAGAGGTTTACTAAATATTATTAAATGTTCCCGGAGCATGAAAGAGTGTAGCAAATGTGGGAGAAAAAAAAAAAAAGCTTCAAATTTAAGCAGCAGGAAAGAAAAAAAAGTGTGATGCACTTTGAAGCAGATTTTGTCACGCTGCCTCCACCACATATTAATCTCCCATCTTGTAAAAAGGTGCATGCAGCTTCCAGCCGCTGAGCCCCACATTTCACCACGCATCCATCTTTAATCACACACCTTCCACCTATAGGCCGTCCAGCGTTTTATCTCACAGCCACGGGGGTGGGAGTGGGGGGGGAAACATCTCAGAGAAATATTTAGCCTCCCCGAATCAGAGGCAGAGCAGGTCGGCTGTCTGAGCTGGACGCAGTTCACAACTATTACTTTCAGTGAAAAATCAATTCTCCAATCAGCCAAAGCACAATCCATCTCCGTAAGTAAAGGCAGGGCTTGGTTTACACACTCTCGTTGCCACTCTGTTTGCAGATTAATTGCTGGTTTCGTGACGTGAGCTGCTCGTTCAGTAGGTGAGTCACGATGAAGCACTGGGCTTTTATAGAGGAGCAACTAGAAACCGAGATTGCTGTAGAACAGGAGTGTTAAAACATTACGAACCAAACTCCTGAAGTGATGACATTTTTGCTGACGACAATCCAACAATAACTTCTGTTTGGAGTCTCAGGGATCCTTGACGTCCATCCATCCATTATCTATACACCACTTAATCACCAGTCTATCACAGGGCCACGCTTGGAGACAGACGACCAAGCACACTCGCATTCGCATCTACGGACAATTTAGAATCACCAATTAACCTCAACATGTTTTTGGACTGTGTGGGAGGAAGCTGGAGAACCTGGAGAGAACCCACGCTGCACGGGGGGAACATGCAAACTCCACACAGAAAGATCCTAATGTCCTAACTGGGATGCAAACGTGGGACCTTCTAGCTGCGAGGCGATGGTTCTAACCACAGAGTCACCTTGCAGCCCATCTTTGATGTCAATATAGTCAATTTTGCACTTTTTAGCCAGTTTCACAGATCTTAAATATGACTGTTTGGATTCATGTTTGGAGCAGTTTGTTCCAAAGAGATGCTGCAAGGTGTCAGTTCTCCTTAAGCTGAGAACGATCATCGGTCTGGCTGATCATCGTGGCTGATATTTGGCATATTTCAAATTATTTGTACTGCTATTTTTATTGACCGATTATTGATAAATTCACTACGTCTGATGCAGCCTCCTCTCTCTGTCCGTCGTCACTCTGCGATCTCTGAAATGTCACTCAAACAGGGGAAACTGAACACAAGCTGTTGCCACAAACCAGGAAATTACTTTCACAGTGGCTAAGGCTAACAGCTAGCGGGTAAGTTAGAAGGCAGCCAACCCCGAAACAGAGTCTGGAACACCAGAAGTAATAATGCTTTAAGATCTGGACCTTAGTGGGCAACCAAAGTGATAAAACAGTCAAATATCAAGAAAACAAAAGACTGCAGGAGACAAACTGATCAATCTCAGTTAATCTCACATGAAGAGAGGAGAGCATCCTGATTTAATCACTCCTATTTCTATTTTACACATTCAGTTATAGTCACCCTTATTAGAGAAGAAGCCTCGTTATGAATGACAGATTCTATCATATGCTGTTAAAAACATTACATATACATACAAGCCAATAACCGGCATCAATATCGGCCCTGAAAAACACACAACGGTCAAACCCTACTCATAACAACATTAAAACCACCTGCAGGTTCCTCCAGGACGTTGGCAGCAGATCCTTTAGTCCTCTGTGGATCAGCATCGCTCCGGTGCTTGATCTGATTTAGATCTGGGGGGGGTTTGGAGCTCCTGAGCAGTTTTTTGCGACGTTACAGGGGTGGTTGTCCTGCTGAAATAGGCTGCTAATGTTGGGGAGTGTTTGTGTGTGCTTGGTCTGCAACAACATATAGGTTGGTGCCCGAGAAACTTGAGGTTTTCAAGCAGAACATTGCCTCGTAATGAGATGATCAGTGGTTTTAATGTTGTGGTTGATCAATGTATTCGTTCACGCACAGCCCATATAACACTGAGAACATGATCTGCTTTGGTGTATTTATGCGTTGTAGTAATTTCAGCCACTCTATTACCTTTATCACACGTGCAGGCCCAGTTAGCCCAATATGTTCCTACACTATATTGGCTTTTAATAAGGTCAGAGACTGTAAAGCCAGTATCACATAACACAGGAGTTAATATACGAGGTTAGATTACTTATTTCACAGCTTTTTTTTTTACTAGGTGTTGACGTTTGCCCCTCTGGGAATCTTGTGAAAAGAAATATAACTAATAAATATGTATAATAATGTGAACCCTTATGATAACATAATCCCTCTTATATTCCTTTCATGTCCTATTATAGTTCGAGTATGCGACGTTTTAAAGGAGAGTTTTTGTTTTATTCAGTTTAATTCAAACAACTTTATTAATCCCACCTGAGGCAGTTCATTTGAAGCACTTTGCTGTTGCTTACACAACAAAGTACACACACACACACCCACACACATCTGCATGCAATTATGCGTGCATGTACATACGTATATATACCCGCACACATCACAGCAAATAAAGTTCAATGTCGCATTGCTGCCTGTGAAGTATTTAAAAGACGAACGGCAGAAGGAATGAATGGTTTTACGTGCAGGTATAGCAAAGCTGCGCCTGCAAGGACATGAAAAGGAGAATCTAGAATACTTGTTGCTCTCCTAAGGATTTGTTGGTTGCAAAAAAAAAAGAATTCAGGTGCTTTACTCCAGTGATCCTAAAGCAGATTTTAACAATGAGGAAACCAACATATAAAAACTCAGGAGACTCAATAAAAGATTGGTAAAACCGGAGAAGGAATTCAGTCACTGTTGTTCACAGGAGCTTCTGCATTATGTTAGTGAGATATGTCCTTAAGTGCAAAACTTACAGGTCTGTAAAAAGCCCAATGCATGAGATGAGTGGACGTTCCACCAACATGCATGCACTTTGAGTACTTATTGCACGTATCTTCCACCGGGCACGTTGCCAGATTGTAGATGGCACAAGAATGGCAGCAATGATCAGCCATGTGAGCTTGCCCTGCTAAAGAAGTAACGAAAGACAGAAGCAGAATAAAGAATGACAAAGTTTGCATAAAACAAAAGAAACTGAGTCAGCGTCGGTATGGCTTGTCCACACTGCTTTCTGTGGTGTATCCTTTCCTGTTGGTGTTTATCTGGTTTGTTTTGTGGGCTGAGGTGAAAGTGGAACGGTGGCCCAATCCCAGTCTGCACCACGAGTGTTCAGGTACAAACCCAACAACAGGCAGGTTGAGGCGAAAGATATTCTAATTAAACCAAACTAGCAAACACAAGGCGGCTGGCAAACGAAACTCAGAGAAACAAAAAATCCAAAAGTACACAAACCAGTGTGAGGAGAGGAAAACATGAGGTAGGCGAATAAGGAGAGTAAACTCAAGACAGAAGAGAAGTTAAAATGAGATGAACTGGCAAAGACAGAAGGAAGGACGAGACTGTTTAAACACCAACAGCTGATTGGGGAGAAGTGACACGGGTTTAAATTAGGAGGGAAAGGACAACGTGACCCACATAGACTGGGATCTTTACAAAATATAACAGGAAGTAAACACAACAAAAAAAACCTGAACATTAAACCCTCACAGACGTCACAGCTGTAGTGTTTGTGTGTGAGGGCAGGAGATGCTATAAAAAGTGGGATGGGACACACCAAGACAGCACATGTTGCACAGAAACAAGCACTGTCATTAAAAAAAACAGAAGAATTTGGACTCGTTTTTGATTCGCAGTGTAATCAGCTGCTCAGATGATCATTCTGTGTCTGTCTCGCTACAGTCTTTATACATTTGAAGTCAAGAAAGCATCTGTTAAGCAGCCGTTTGACTGAAATTACAAAAACCCCTCTACTTATGTGCAATAAATAACCGCAACAGCATGCAGCCCGATGCTGTCACTTACAGATAAACTTCCCGGCACCGTCCATGCTTGCAGCAACTCCATCAGGAAAGTCTGCAGATGTGCAA